CCGGCGCTTTGTCAGCACTCCTGGGATAGTTGGCTTGCAAAAAGCTGACGACAAGGGAGTGACTAGTTTCAATTCAAAGAAAACCATCGTGCACACTGCACACCACCTTTTTTTTGCTGCTGCTTATGAACGTGCGCTAAATGCCGCGCGACTTTGGAGACATCCTGAAGGGACGTCTCAGAAAAGATGCCGGAAAAACCGGTAATGAGATTGATGCCTGGCCTGTTGGCAGAAAACCCGGCTTCCCGACAAGAGCAGTGCGAGGCTGCAGCTTCATGTTGTTTCTGCAACAGCAGGGTTCCCAGTGTGGTGAAGGCCGCATCCGCACATCAACCCATCCCAGAATATGCTATAAGGTACTGTATAATATACTATATACTATTATATACTAAAATCTACTAGTTGCTGTCTGCGCTTCGGCCAGGACATGTCCGTGGAGCTGCAGACGCGAGCGGCTGTACATCTCCGGATTCTCCGATTTCCACCTACTTTCGAGGAGGGAGAGGGAACCTTCATTATTGTTGGTATCATTATTGTTTGCTGTTATTATTGTTTATTATTGTTTATTATTCTTATTACTACTTCTGTCATCATTATGAATACTACTTTCGAGTAGACCCTGCCAAGTTCAGGGAGCAGCAAACTCACACGTTAATGTGCAATGCAATTTGAAGATGGTGTGCCTTGACGGCTTCTTTTTAATCTGCATGGCTGTCTTCACGGGAGTGCCACAAAATTCTGCGATCTTGTTCTATGTGATGCTGTTTCTGCGTTAATTGCCCTACAGCCCAAAAATATCCCTAGTCATCCCCACTACTAACCTACTGACTAAGTCTCCCCGACCCTCCACGTACTTCATTGTACGCAGCAGCTACCCTGGCGGCAGGTTAAACTTCCGGCTGCGCAAAAGGCTTCGATCAAGTTGACTTCGTTGCGAAGCTATACTCACTGGGGGTTAGTAGGGAATAAGGATTTTGCATGTATGCATATATATATATATACAAGGTTTAGGGTAGGGAATAAAGGGATATATCATACAGGGATAATATCGGGGTGATATTCTCTTATCCCTACTAACCCCCAATTAGGTATAGCAGGGAACCATTCGAATTTCCTAAATAAATTGGGGGTATCTTTTTTGGCGCTGCTGCAACAAGGACTATGGCGTTTTATGGCACATTCGGGTCCCCTTGTTTTGGGAAACTACCATTTGAGTAGTATTTTATTTGGAGATGCTATGGTACCCAATATAGAGTAAGAGTATATCCTCCTTTTGGGGTATAGTACTTTGATGTAAGGAATAATATAATCTTACTGGGTTCAACCACAAAAAAGCACTACTCGTTTGTCTGCACAAGGGTGAGGTTCGAGATCTTCTTTTGCTACATCCCACTTCGCAAGAACTTCCCAGACCGCCGGGAGGATCTAGAAAGTAGAACCCCCAGTTTAGTACCTTCTACGACTATTGGGTAACCTTCACGAGCCCTTAAAACATAAGGGGTGACAATACTGCCCCCCAAAGGTAGCTCTGCCAGGGTTTAAGGAGGGGTACTATTGTAACCCCTAATGAGAGTGATTTCCAGATCCTTCCAGGAATCTGGGTTCCCAGAAAGCCCAATACCTTTCAACTAAGGAATAGACCTTAAATCATACCAGGATCCCTAATATGGTTTAAGGAATATTCCTTAATTATGGGGTATTGGGCTCCGCGGGTTTGTGCAGGTTGCGAATGAGGCCCCCGAAGGGCGTTTGCTCGGTCTGAAGATCGCCTGGCTTGTTTCCTGTGCAGCTCAGCCCTAAACCCTAAACCCTCCAGCCCACATAAACTTACCATTACTTAGGCTTCTCAAGTTTCCTTAACCTTGAAAATTCAAAGTTTTAGGATCCAAACGACCTCCCAAACCCTAAGTAGTGGTAATAAACCCTGATTGGTTTCTGGTTGGGCTCGGAGAACAGCCGCATGGAGTCGACCCAATTTGTTGACGTAATAGATGGTATGCTTTTATACAAGCATGTATGTCCATATGTGTATATGTGTGATAGCATACTAGAAGATGCCTATATGTGTACACGTGCAATAGCACAGTAGAAGATGGTTTATCATACTGCAAGCGAAAGCTGTGTATATGTAGAAATGCACATGTACATGTACATGCGGGCAAACATGTGTGTGTGGATAGATATATATATATATGTAACCCTCAACCCTCTAAACACTCATGAAACTATGGCTTGGAGCCAGGTGTTGCCCTGTCATGAACGACCTCGACACCTTTCTGACCATCAAAGACATTGCGACCCAAGCTTTGTAGCGGCTGAACGGTGGGCTTGTAGGGCTTTATGGCGTGTATCGTGGTCGTGCCATCGTGTAAAGACCCGTGCATGCAGGGCCCATGCTGGGGGGCCATAGTTCTCACTTTAAAAAGTAAGGGACGATTGGGCGGGGGGCCTTCCATGCTTCATGCAGACCTCCCGAATATCTAGAATAACGGTCCATATGGAGCTTCCTCAGGTATTTGGGGTGCCTTTTTGTGGCCTCCAGTATAAGTAAGGACAATAGTATATCGGCGCCTAAAATGGAGTCTTTGTGAAAAGTATCACATATCCAGCATTTTGGCAGGATCATGCATCACGAGCTGTTTCGGGTTTTTACTTTAAGACCAAGCCGCGGAAGCATCAGTGTCGCTAGTTGACACCTTGTTCCCTCTGCTCGATGGGCATGGTCTCTGCCCCTCATCTGCTTGAAATCCTAAACCCTAAACCGTAAGCCCTAAACCATGGAAGCATGGCAGCTGGTACCGTATGCGACGCCCCTCCCACAGATCTTAAATCTGGTCAAAGCTGCAAGTGGTTTAGAGTTACTCCTATTACCGATTGTGGTAACTTTTACTGTAAGGAGGAATGCCTTGAAAGTATAGGGTTAATGGGCGGGATATTGTAGCCGTGGCAAGAAGACATTCGAAATCAAAGAAAATCCCGCTCACCATGGCCAAATCAAGCTCATCCCAGACACAACGTGGCAACTGGCTTCGTGCAAACCACGCAAAACGTCAAAGTGCTTCTTGAGCATTGGACAGGTACCCGACAGCCGTCTGGATTGTCACAACATGGAGAGAATTGAGCACAGACCTCAAGCTTGTGCTTGGTGCTTTCTAGGTAGTAGGCACTCAAGTTCCAGCCAGGTTATAACCTATACCCCCCCAATAGTTATCATTCTAGACAGCACTGCTTCGTAACATGCTCGCCTGAAGCCGTACTGGTTTGGCCATGTCCTGGCGCCAGTTGGGTTGCTGTTGAGGAACTTAAATTCAGTTACCATAGAATGTTTAGGGTTTAAGTTACCATAAGATGGGTATATAGAAAACACTGGGGTTTCCTTATTCTAGTAATTTAGTTTTAAGTTCCTTAACAGCAACCCAGCCAAGGGCAAGCCTCTTCCACCTGGTGGTCATGACTGGCTTTCGAATCGAAGGCGCGTTTGGTTCATGGTTCTGTGACACAAGTTTCAGTGAGACGCTATGATAGAAAGGGTCCTACAGCCATAAGGAGCCGAGATTCTTGCGTTCAGGCTCAGGAAGAGCCACATCTCAATTACCTGCAGCCCTAAACCTGAAACCCTAAACCACAAAACAGAATTCTGAGCCCGAAGGCTTGATCCTGTGAACAGCCTATGTTGACCTGTTGCAATGAGCGGTTTCGCATAATGATCAAGGAATCTGGAGACATAATATAGGCAATCATACCTATGAACGCCATGTACAACCAGTTTCCATTTTATTTTCAAATTCCTAATCCATGGACTATGTATCCCTAGATCATCCCTCTAGAGCCACCAAATTTTCCATTTCATTTTCCACTCTCTTTTCCATCTGATTCTCCCCAAACCCTAAAACCGTAACCCTCTAGTCCCCCTGAAGTAGATAGAATATGGGGTATATGAGGATCTTAGTATAAAATACCCAAAGCCATATTCTGTCTACTTAAGGGGGACTATCTCTCTACAGGGGTAAATGGCGTTTGCGGAGCTGGACCGAAGCTTCAGCGAGCGCTGCTCGAGGCTCGACCTGCCACATGAGCCATAGTCTAAACTCCTTAAAGGGTGGTTATATAGAGGATGATATACAGGGTTGTATAGGGTTTAGGATTTAGGGTTAAGGGTTAAGGGTTCAGGATTAAGGGTTGAGGGTCTATACTCCTTAAAGGGGGGGTTATATAGGGATTATATAGGGAAGTATTATAGGGCTTATTACAGGATACTAGGAGTGAAGCGGTTAAGGGTTTAGGGTTTCTGGTCCCCCTTAAGTCTTAAGTCTGATAGGGTATGGGTTATAATTGTGAGGATCTTATTGTGATATGGGGCAAGCCCATATTCTATCTACTAAAGGGGGACTGAAGGGTCAAACAGTCAGCTGTAAGCTATCAATTGGAGACCTCACCGTGCTCGAACGGATCTTCTTGTCTGTTGAAATTCCGGTAGGTCCCAAGGTTTAGGGCTTAGGGTTTAGGGTAGGTTCCTTGCTCTCATCCGCATCTTTCGGGGCCCCAGACCATTGATCTGGAAGAGGCTTTCTGGCGATTGCATGACTGTTTGCGGCTCAGCAGGTAGCAATCAATAGGTGGCAGCTAATTGTTTGCCAGCCTTCATCCCCAGATAGTTCACTAATCAATCTTTTGGGTTTAGGGTTTAGGTGTAGAGGTTTAGTACTTAGGGTTTAGAGTTTAGCTCCCAGTCCCAGCCGAATTCCATTCATCTGGTCCACCAATGTACCATGCAGGCTTCCCAGGACAAGGCACCCATATAATCCTTATATACTCCTCACAAAAGCCTATATAACCCCCTTTTTCTCCCTAAAAAAACAATTCTATAATATCCCTAAAGAACTTATTTGTCCCAAATCAACCGCCCAGATTAGGCCCCATGTCAGTATTGAATAGGATGCCCCAGCCGTGCCGTTTCCTCGCACGGGATGTTGCAGCCGCCGTCGACCGGGCCATAGGTGATGTTTGTGCAGGATTATGATATCGACGCCTCTTAGCGGCAGAGTTCCGGCAGGGATGCATCATAGACGCTCTATTATGTCATATAACCCTATCTAATTAACCCCCCAATATATCTCTCTATATACCCATAGAGCCCCCTAGCTTTGACCTAAACCCTAATCCTGAGCCCTAAACCCTAAGCCCTAAATCCTAAACCCTAAATTCTAATTTCTAGGATGAGCTCTCGGGGGATGACCGCGGCCGATCACCTCGGGGTGCTGGCGGCTATGCAACCCGAGCCGCGGAAAATGCAGAGCGGCGCATTGCAGATGTCAGGGACCCAGTTTAGGGTTTAGAGGATTTCGGGTTTAGGG